AGAAAAAGGGAAAAATCGAAATTAAATTGAAGAGTTAAGGGGATATTGCAAATTTAATTTAGAATTTTGTTTTACATATTTTTACCGTACATGTACATAGATACAGATTCTCCATTAATAATAGCGATTAAAAATTTTGTAAATTTATCTGAATTCTTCTGAAATATTGTAATTGGAAGCATCTGAGTGAAGGTCTCTCAACCAAGGGGAAATCCTCCCATTGCACTCAGCCTTTTTATAAAAAACTCCTTTTATTCAAGTTTTGGTATTTACCAATATTTTCTAAATTTTTTTTTATTTATAAAACACATTAGAAAATAATCTAAATCTAAATAAGTGTGTAAGTATTTTCAAGTTTGGGAAAAGAGGGGCAGATTGATTTTCTAGATATGGTGAAAAGGGATGCGTGGGGCAAAAAAAGGTTGGGAACTAGTGATCTGGGTCATTCAGAGGCAGTAACCCATAGAGACATTTGAAAAATCTGATTAATTAGCTGTTTACCATGTTTGATCATTATGCAAGAAGGAAAATTTATTATTTTTATTGCAGTTAATTTTAACTAGGATTACCATGTTTGATCGTTATGCAAGAAAGACAATTTATGATTTTTATTGCAGTTAATTTTAACTAGGATAAATAAGTAAAAAATATTCTTATTTAGTACCACTACCTGGCAATGCCCAGGTATAACGGCACCGCATTTTTATGCCAGTTATCTGCTGGTTGAAGACAGAAATCTTCTTAATGGTGCTGTGGTGTAAAGTAGCATGCACAAACTGAAGATCATTTTCTTGCTTGATGGGAAACATTAGACTACCATAAAGGTAGTCTAATGTTTCCCATAAAGGCATGCATCTATGTTCCTTTATAGAAATAGCAGACCCTGTTTTTCTGGAAACCCAGATTTTAAGCCTAAATAAACTAGTATAGTTGGGTCCTAAAATATGGTATGCATTGTAAAATAATTTTTATTGATGAGTGAAAAGATATTTGAATATTTGTGTTTTGTTTTACAATTATGTATATTTGTTTAAATTATGAATTAATTTATAATTTTTAATTGATGTAATTTATTGTTGATAATTGTTCATATTTATTATTAATCCAGTCTGCTGCACGTAAAATACATATATATTATTAATCCGTATTTACTGCATAATTATTGTTAATCCAATCTGCTACATATTTATTATTAATCCAAACAGTCTGCTACACATAGATGGATGAAAAATCTTTTATAATTAATGAAGTTACATTTCTTTTGCATATTTGCAAAATGTATTGAATTGTAAAGTAGGTTTTCATTAGAATTTACTCATATTTATTATTAATCCATTATAACATAATTTACTTTTGAATTCATTTTTTTCCTTTTATAGAGAGCAACCTTAAAGATTTCATATGTCCTGATTCCAAAAAATATGGGAAACACTAGTAAAGGACATATCAAATTGTAAAGGGGGGAGGACGAAGACAGTTTGAAACCAATATTAACAGTAAAAATGCTTTTTTTATGTTCCAAATTGATAGGTACATTCACAGGTGAAAGAAGATAAAATAAGATATTTAAAATGCTAGTTAGAATATATGGAAAACTGAATACTTTGATAGAATATTGAAGATTTAATAGAAGATATTTTTAATAAATATGTAGTCTTTATTCAGCAGATTAAAAAAAGATTAGGTAATAATCATAATTATATACAGCCTTTTCTGATCTTATGTGTATAGCAGTTTTTCATTTTCGGGAAAATAAAGTTTATCTTATTGATATACCTGAGTCTTCTTCCAAGAAGTGCAACCTAAAAAATTTATTCTGATTGACACCCTTATCCCAATCTGGCATTTATAAGTTTTTCATAAAGCTACCAAATATTTAGTTCATCCTGTGCTTAATTAATTAATGAGTTATTGAAACGAAACATTCACTTGCTTAAGAATTTATGCACCTTTATGAAAAATGCCAGATTATCATACTTTTACCTAGAAACCTTTTCAGGCGAGAAACTCATCATCAGTTTCTGCATGCTTTTTTATGCCATGACCATTGTTGTAAAGATTTTCATCTTTATTAAAGTGGTTGACTTGAATTAAAGTGTCACACTGATATGAAGGCATCCCTCTTTATTTCATTAAAACAAAATACAAAACACGTTTTTCACCAAAATTTCAAAAATTAAACTGCAATATAATAGCTGGGGGGAAAAGTAATTACTTTCAAGAAACTTTAATAATATTAAATGTTTTTTCTTGTTTTATTGTTAGTTAAACGATGATTGTTTTCTGAATTTGATGTATTTGATAACCACATGCAATTCTATTCAAAGCAAAAATAAAAATTATAAAAAAGGGTTAAAAAATTAAACTGCGTTATAATAGCTGGGAGAAAAGTAATTATTTTCAGGAAACTTTAATAATATTAAATGTATTTTTCTTGTTTTATGTTAGTTTAGTGATGACTTGTTTTCTAAATTTGGTGCATTTGATAACCACAAGCAGTTCTGTTCAAAGCAAGAATAAAAATTATAAAAAAGGGAAAGGAAAATTTTAATTTTGTGCATAGGTAAAAGAGAAAAGATAAAGATTTTTCTGTAAAAATCTTTGAATTCTTTTCAAAGATTTTGTATGTAAGTATTATGAACTTAAACTGCAAGTTTTAAAAGTGTTGACTTTATTATTTTTGTAGCTGCAGTTATAATATTTTTATCTAAAATTGGCTTACAAATTTTATTTATTTATTTATTTATTTTAATATTTAGCATTTTTTAAACTTGTTATAGTTTAAAACAAGTGGGGAAAATAGAGTTTTATTTCTTGCTATCATCATCCATTCAGGTAAATAAAAATATGCTTGATTGAATGCTTGCTTATGATGCAAAGAAAAATAATATTATATGGCTTCTAAACTAATTTATTGCACCTTTTAACTGATTGTTACATATAGATTTTGAATAAAAAATCTTTTCTAGTTACTAAAGTTACATTCCTTTTGCCTATTTACATAATGATTGATTTATAATGTAAGTTTTCGTTAGGATTTATATGCCTCTCTGAATTATGATTTCAAGTTATTAGAAAAAAGTAAAACGTATAATTTTAATGAGTTCAGCTAGTTTAATTTTCCTAATCCAGCTTGTAATAATTAGTAACAGAGGAAAAATTGTACTTATGGCTTTAAATTGCTAAATTGGTTAACCAATAACAATGATTAAATTTGAATGAAAATTCAAATAACTTATGCTTAGACAAATGGTAACACACTGGCACAAGGATCCTAAAAATAGTGTGTTTCAGGTAGTAGCAAGAGATTGCTGAGTTGATTAAATTTGAAAGATAGGTATCATACACTTGAATGAAAATTCAAATAACTTATGCTTAAACAAATGGTAACACACTGACACAAGGATGCTAAAAATAGTGTGTTTCAGGTAGTAGCAAGAGATTGCGGAGTTGATTAAATTTGAAAGATAGGTATCACACACTTTGATGATTGGCAACATATTTCTTTCAAAATGTTGAGATTTCAGATTAAACTTAAAACATAAATATCCTATGCTTTGCCAAGTGGTAGCATGTTTTTAACTGACTGAGCTTGTTAATAATTTTACACGAAATGTAAAATTAAAAAAAAATTGAATCTTAAAATTTGGGCTTTAAGGTTCCTATGTTCAGGAATATTCAAAATTTTGTGGCTCTAGATGTTGCCATTTTTCCGCAATGGGAGGAGCATACGTATGGATTCTTTATTATTTAATAATAGAAATAATTCATTTATAATAGAATATTATAAATCTTCAGTAAAATTAATTGTTATTAAAAGTATATATATACTGTGTATGCAGTTATTATGTTTGTCTTACTTAAAATTTGTTCCTTTATCAGTATTTGTCACAATAAGCTTTTGTAAATTGTACAGTAAGATAATTCACACATAATAATAAAGTAATTTTGTTAATTTTCCATCTTGCATGGATAATTGAAAAGGGATATTGCATAAATTGAAATTATCAAAAAGATGAATAGCATTAATATGTATATCATGTTTTTCAGCATCTGAGTGGCCTTTTTATGTGTTCAGTATTAATTTGAAGCAGAAATAATTCTTGTATTGTTTTGAGGTTAATAATAGTGAAGTATCAAAGAAACAGTGAAACTAATAGCTGCCAAGAAGAGTTGGACCAACATTATGTTTAAATTTTTAGCTAGAAGTTTTTACTTATAGTTGTTTATTCATTGAGTTTCTACTTGAGCACCAAATATTGCAATTGCCAGCTCTTTTCAGACATTTTTTAGTATAAATATGTTACATATACTGTGAAATATGAATTGTATAATTACGCTGTTCCACCAAGAACCTGACAGACAAATTTGAACTTTATATGTGATTTATTTTATGTAGTCTGATCAATTGCTATCTATTAAATGTGTATTATGCAATTATCTTTCATAGACTGGTAGTAGTTACGTATTTTAAATAATAGTTTTTATTGTGTCATGTGTAACATAATCTGAAAAAATGTGTGTTTATTAAATATTCTAAACATAAAGAATTATTTTCAAGCTGTGAATATTAGATTGGCTAATCTTTTGAATATAGTAACAGGTAGTTTGGCGACATTTTGGTAAGGCGATAAAGGTTACTAGCTACGACTTTAGCTGTGTACATGGATAAAGTCAAGAGTGTGTGCAATGCCATTTTTGTGCAATTCTGGGATGTTTTTTTAAGTGAAAATAGGTCGACGTGTACATGGATGATACCGTGTATGTGCAATTCATAAAAACGCGGCAAGCAGTGGGCGATTCTGCACTTTCTTCCAATTTCGCACCTAATCTTCATCATGATTAAGCACTTTTGTTCCATAAAAGAAAGTTCTAGCATAAGCGTAATTCGGCTAGCAGATTGTTGGGAAAAAATGTTGAGTAAAAAAGAAAAAAAAACATGCCTTTACTTCGTGAAAACAAAATGGCGTCCAAAAAAAAAAAAAAAAAAAAAAAAAAAAAAAAAAAAAAAAACTAGCAGGTTGCTGTAGCAGGGTTGGTCGCCAAAAAATCGCCAAGTTACCATAATCCAAAGATTAACCATTAGATTTTCAGCAGAAATTAAAATTTATATTTTGTTTGATTTCACCATCTAATTTTATATAAGCCACTCATAATCAGAAGAAATATAATTTGATAAATATCTATACATATGTGTTTACAGGCATACATATACAGACTTTTAGTTATATGTATTTTGTAGTAACACAGATTCCTCATTTAAATTTTTGAATGTTTTTATTTTCATGTATTTTTTCCAAAATTCAGTCTTTATTATTTATGATTGAGACTCATATTGCCATTGCATTATTATGCGAGTATTTATATTTGAAGATGTTACATACCAAGTTTAATCACATTAATTATTAATATTTAAAAGAGTGTAATATATTTAATAGCATTATTTTTCTTTCACTTTGCATTTTGTTAAACAAAGATACATAGTATTTGGTCATTACACAAAGAAATTTAATTTATTGACACTTTTTACTACTGTTACAGTAAGGTTGTAACTACTGTTAAGACTACTACTAAGTTTTTACTCCTGTTTGTAGTAAGGTTTTAGCTAGAGAAAATACTAATAATGAATACAAATAAACTTTTGAAAATTATGGATTAGATATTTGTTTTTAATCTTTGGATCATTAATATTGAAAATTGAATTATTTATGGGCTTAAAATTACTTTTATTTATTTATTTAGGAAGGCTTTTCTGTGGGCATTCCTCTAGATTTGTCAAATGTAAATATTGTGTATCTGGCTTTGAAATAGATTTGAGAAACTTGATAAATAATGCATAGGTATAGTCATATTAATTTTTGCAGTTAATTGCAACTGATGTATGTGACAGACTGTAATAATATGTGCATAATCCTAATGCTAATTTAATGTATGAGGCTGCTGATTTGTTACCTATATGGTTTGACCTTCACACAGTTATTGCTTTATTTCAAAACATAATGTTGAAGGATAAGCAACACATTGAATTTCTTTTGTTATATTTCCATGTTTTGTAATTTCTTAACATTGCTGAAATTTAAAGTGAACAGTTTCATTTGTTTCAGAATTTTCATATATTTTATATGGAGTAAAATTTTATTGTTTCAATTTTTAAATTTACGTTCTTCTTTACATATTAATTAATGCAAAAGTTCTTAATCTTTATGCTGTTGTCTCAGGTTCTTGCATTATGCCTTTGTTTAAGCCTTTTTAATCTGTCATGTGGCATTATTAATTGTGCTTCTTATATTACAATTGTTATTGTGTGGTTTCCAAAGTGTAGATGGTGAGAAAATTCTGGTGGACTGTAAAAAGTTTTATAAGTTTTTATTTTAATATATCAAGTTATTTAAAAAGAAGGAGCACATTTAAAATAAGTTATTTCTAATGAACTAGAGTAGATAGAGACACATACGATTCATCTTTGGTTAGAGAAAAGTTCAAACTTTTACTTTATGCATTGAACATGAGCATCATTTGTTAAGCAACAAACATTAAAAATTGGTAATCTGTGTCTTGGTACACATAAAGAACTGGTCCCTAGTTATTGAACTAACGCATACTGTAACAATTCGGTTTCTCAGGTCTTGAAGAGTAGTAGGCATAGGTGGGTACATACACACTCTTTTATGTACTCCCACAGATAAAAATTTGAAGGGGTAAGACCTGGTGACCTAGGAGGCTACTTAACATAAACAAGATCACATTGCCCATCTTATCATGAAATTTAACACTCATTTCTTTTTCTATGCCTTCTGTAACTAACCATGTGATGTTGAAAGCAGATGTAAAATAATATATTGTATGGGGATTTTGGCAGTAATTTAGAAATCATTTAAAGGAATGGAAGTTTTTTATTATATTATGATATTCTTTTCCAGAATAATTTTGTGGACTAATTCCTTTCTTTTTCCAGGTTATGTTTTTAATTTCGTCAGCACTATTTTATCCAATCATTTTTTTTTTAAATTTTATATTGTCAATAATTACCTAGTAAACAAAAAAGAGATGTGTTGGGAAATTTTACTCTACTTTGCTAGTTTAAAATTGTATGTATGTTGTTCCTAATTTAACCCCTTTAAATTTAAGGCTTTTATGTTTATCCTTTTACTATACATTAAAGCCTGCTAAAAAAAAGCGGTACTTGCAATATTAATGCAACCATCTTGGCGCAATCTGTTGATCCTTTACCGATAGATGGAATTTAGTTACTTGCTAGATGGAAGCTGGCGATTTTAATGACTTTCTATGAAAAGGTTGCTGAACTATCAATATTTATCATAAAACACACTTAAGCAATTTTAAAAATGAATTTTAATTATTAAATAATGATTATTTCACACATTTAAAAATAAAACACATTTTTTTAAGAAAACCTTCTGTAATTTTTTTTACACTGTTTTTGTTTAAAAAAAAAAGAGAATTGCATAACTTCCATTGCATGCCAGCTATCTGGTAGACGCACCTCATAGTCATTCCCTTTTGTGATTTTTGCAGCAAAATACTATATTATTTTAGTTCTTGTATTGCTAGCAAATTCCACAAGTATGTATTTTAAAATTGAGTGTAAGGCAAAAAACATTGAGGCTTGTCTATAAAAACCTCTATAACTTGGAATACAATAAAGAGAATTTATAAGAAAATGGCGATGTTGCTTGACTGAAGAATTTAATAGACGTGTGATTGCCAGAGTTTGGCACAATCTGAAAACTTGGTAACTTCTATTAAGGTGGTTGCGTTAATACCAAAATAATATAACTTTTTTCATTGTTTTCATATATTTCATTTATTTAATGATCTACAATGATTTTTCTTGTAAATTTTCAGAATATCACGGAAATACTGAATTTTCATCCAGTTACAACTATTCAATTCAGAAGCATGTCAGATTAAGGTGAAAAGATGCTAGTGCCTTTCAAGTGTCTAACTCAATATACCATGTTATAAGCTCCCATTATCATGGTTATATTTATTTTAATTTCCAGCCATATTTATGTTTGCATTTTTGTAAAAATTACGCAGAAACAGAACCTTAAAAAACACATTTTTACACATACATAAAAAATAGTTGGTATTACTATCTGAAACAGATAACTGTAATTAATTACTGTATAGATCTTGTATCATTTGTGATAATTCTGTATAGATCGTATATCTTATGTCATTTCATTGTGTACTATAATTTTTAAAAATAATATAGATGTCAGTTGCTTTAAAAATCTGTGGGAATGCATTTCAATTTATTAAATGTATAATATTATTAAGTTGATGTGTACTTTTTTTTTAGAAATACATTGTATTGAGTATTTAAATGTAATATTTTAAATCAAAGGGCTCAAATTTTTAAGATTTTGTTATATGTACTTATGTTATTTTTGTATTAAATTCAAGATAGTGAATTTAGTATCTGAATATAAGTTTTTGTCTTTGAAACTGGGAAATCAGAATGCAGCATTTTAATTTATAAAAATAATTGTTCTTTCTGATTTTTTTAATTAAACTACTTTCATTATGGTATCTTAACTAGTACTACATTATGTAATCATGCTTAATTTTATAGAACTACTTAAGAGTTGTTAAGTTTATATAAAAAAAGACTGTCTTTTTTACTAAATTCTAAAAAATTCAAGAAGGAAAAATTATGGGATATGTCCCATTTCTAAAGAGAAGATTTTAATTAAGAACACAGCACATTAAAAAGCATATATAAATAGCCGAATTAATATTACTTCATTCTATATTTCAAAAATGTTTTTAATTGCAAAATATCCCTTTTATGTATACAACATGTTTTACTATATGTGCATATCTGTTTTACATTGTTACCATTAAATCAAAAGTTTCTGAATCTTCTGCTGAATGGGGGATTTTGTGAGTAAATATAGTTTGTGTGTTTTAATTTGGATGAACTTGAACTAGATTTCTTTCAAAATTTCTATTTCTCTTAGTTTTGAATTTCAATTATGTGCATCATTAGGCTGCTTTCACTTAAACTAGGAAAAGTTTATTCATTGTTCTATTCAACTTCTTATTTTACATTGAATTCATACCTTAATTTTGTAGACTAAATTCATTCGATAAATTTTAAGGAATAAGAATTTTATTTCCAAAAATAATGTGATTTTTATATTATTAAGTGTTAAATATGATTAAATGTTAAAATGATTAAGTGTTAAATATTTTTTATTACAAACTGATCATATATTCATAATAAAAACTTAATTATCATCTTTTCTGAAATAGATGTGACAGTATTTCTTGTGGTATTAAAACTCGGTGCATTTGTTCAATGTTGTCCATTAAAGCATTTATAATATGGATGTGTGCATTATATGCATAATGTAGTAAAATACTTTCCTTTTCCATAACATTTTTTATATTATTATTCATAAAATCCTTTGCATAAATAAATTTCATTGCAACTCCTTAGTAAACATACATATTTAATTTATAATTTAGTTTCAGGTGAGCAAGAAATGAAAATGTATTAAATTTAAGCCTATTTACAAGTATTTAATTTAATGCTATGTCATGCAAAGATTCTTTTATTTGAAACATTATTATAACTGTATACACTTATTGCAGTAAAGTCATTTATATTGTTTGAGCAGTAAATTATAAATTCGGAATTATTAGTCTTAGAATGAAAATTGAAATTGAAAAAAAAAAGGAATTCTAGAATTATTGATTGATGTCAGATTTTGTATTCGGTCAAATAGCGTATTTGTTTGCTTAGATAATTTCTTTCTTTCTTCCCCCCCCCCTTGTACAAAGCAAAATGCATACATTTGATTTACTAATTTTTTGTAATCTGTCTTGGTAGGTAAGGATTTTTCAGTCCATAATTTGCTTTAACCTGTTCAGACAGCAATCCTAATTATACGAAGTTTATTTTTAAAACTTAGGAAATATAAAACTGTTAGGAAGATGTTTATTATAATGCATTATACAAAAGTTCTTGATTATATATTTTTAATAATAGGAAGAAATATTAGACTCTCTCCTCCCTTTTTCCCCATTACCTGTGTGTCTACTTTGTATAGTTTTTTTTTTTGGGGGGGGGGGGCCTTGTAAAATACTTCTGCATGGGAGACATTCTCTCAGTATTGTTGAAGTTCTAGTTCAGTGGTCTGCAAAATCATTAGTCAGAAGATCCAAAGATCAACAATACAACAAATAAGATTTCTTTTGAGAACTTTCTTTTTAATAACCATGTTATTAGGAGTCAGCTTTAACCAGAAACTAACATTAAATAAAACTAAATATTGCAATAATTATAATCTTTTTTATTTGTGAAAAATATTTATAGCATTAAAACAAAAATATGGTAAAACATGCATTTAATGTGAACAATGATCTTGCATCATATCTTTTGGCGAGTCAGATTAATATGTTAGTTAATAAGTTTGTGTGAGTCAGATTAATATGTCATTGATTTAATTTTAAGCAGGATTTCATCAATGAGATGATTTCTCGGTTTACTTTTAATAAGGTTCTTGCTTGAAAAAGATTTTGTGCGCGAACATGTTGATCCAAAGAGTGAAATAATGGTAAATGTGAGTTTTTTTAGCTGATCATATGATTTATGAATAGCATTACAGATACTGAAAATTACATATTCTTTCTCTAGGTCTTTCAAAGCAGATCATTTTTGCTGATCACACTTATTTTTCTTTGGTTTGTTTCTTATCAGCATAAAGGCACTCGGATTTGGAGCTCCATAATTCTTTGTTTTTTTAACTCCAGTAATTGTATTTCAAAAGCATGAATAACAGCAGTAAAGATAGAAAAATTCAATTCTGTTAAGTTATGCTGAGATTTTTTTTTTTTTTTTTTAGATAAGGCTGGCATATTTATGCTCTATCTGAATTCCAGATAACTTTGTAGAAAAGCTTCCCTCATTTAAAAGTTGTTGACTTGAAATAGTAAATGTCAATGACCGAATTATTTTCTTGCCACTGTTTCAGCAGGCTTAGAAAAGGAATTAATATTTTTCTTTCAAAATGAGCAAAAAGAGATAACTTGTTTTCAAATGAAATGACTTCTTCAACACTGAAAAAAATATGTTTTTTCCTTTCTATAGTTTACAGTTATTTAGATGAGATATAATGTCTATGATGAAATAAAATTTTGGATCCACTGATCTGTTAATTCAGGATAGTTAACATCTTTCTCAACAGAAACAATAGTTCTTAAGAGCTACTTTTAATTTCTAGTACAGTACAAAGTGTGTAATCCGTACGTCCATTATCTGGAATGATCTATAATCCGGACCTCAAAGCTACAAACTTTTTTTTTGTATGCTTTACGCATGCGCGTTTAGCACAAAAAACAAAGCAACTTAAACAACTTACATTGAAAGAAATGTTTAATAAAGTAAACAAATAAATATTAAAATCTTTTTTTTTTTTTTTTTTTTAAATTTTGATACCCTTTAGGTAGTAATTGCTCTTTATTTCATAAATTACGATTTAATATTTTTAATTGTATAATTTCTGCATGCCATCTTATCAGATTGAAATTGATGATGTATAATCCGGAATCGCCGAAGTCACGACAAGTCCGGATTGCGGACTTTGTACTGTACTAAAGAAGCAAAGCATTTCAAATTGTTTCCTCTTGAAAGCCAGTGTACCGTATTATGCAGCAGCAGATCTGTATATTCACTTTCCACTTCAACTAAAAATTCTTTAAATTGGTGATTATAAAGAAATTTGCCAACAATTGTATTGCCAATCTTGATCATCAATTCCATTAATACTGCAAATTTCTTGTGGAAATGTCTGCACACAAAGCGCTTCTGGATAATGATGCGATGGTAAATAAGTATCTCATGATTACTTTTCGCCCTCAAAATAGAAGCAAAACCTATCTGGTCATACTTTTGCCCCATCTGTTAAAATTGAAACAATTTTATCAATTGGAATTTGATGTTTCTCCATACATTCAATGACTGCATTTGCAATATCCTCACCATGTATTCGACATTTCAGTGCAGTTATCCTAAAATTTCATCTTTAGGACATACAGATGAAATAAATTGACGTACAGATGCTCTGTGTCATTTATGCTTTGTTAACACCTATCACCTATTGATAATTTTGAAACAAATTAAAGATGCTTAACCAGATTATAGATTATAGATTGCTAATTAGTTATATTTGAAGACATTTTTACTGTTTTAGCAGATAGTGATATCTCAACGGTTAATTAATTTTTTTAAAGAATTGCTTCTTGCTTGGAAAATATAGGAGTCATCTATATGTAATATTTCCAAAATGCGTAGAAGAAGGCTTTAGAACTTTAACAAGTTACGATGTTGTGTAGATGACTGAAAAGATTGTAGTGGCTTGAAGGTGGTTGAGTGGAAAAGCATGAAGACGCATTTAGCACAACGGATCTTGAAGAATCACAATCATTATTTTTTTACGTGTATCAAATAATTTTTTTTCAGACAAGATATTTCTTAATTATAATTGAATACAATAAGTTCCATTTTAAAGTACGCCATCATGTTAAGCAAGTAAGCGGCAACAGCATGGATGAAAAGCCTCTTGCCAGCAACAGAGCTTAAAGTTTCAGTTCCTAGTTTTAGTTTACAATTAATTTGATTGGACAAGAGGTATCTGCATTAAAACGTTACATAAGATAGAAAAATGTGCAATCTGGGAGAAGCGACGAATTTAAGAGCAGATCACCAAATTTATAATGTTAATTTTGAGGTCGGCAATTATTTTTTTAAACAACTATCGTATTTTGTTATATCTTACATATTTCCTTCCCACCCCCTTTTCAAAAGAAAGGTTGGGAGAATAGGGTGGAAGAAAAAGCATTACAGCAGCAAAATATGAAAGATGTAATTTTGGAAATACAAAACATATTAACTTGTACACAACAAAATTAAACAAAAATTACTGTCGTAGAATTTTGACAGTTCCCTGTTTTTATACTTTTTTCGACATTAGATTTCACACTATGTGTATTACTTCTTTCGTTATGTATTTCTTGCATTATTTTACACTATGTGTACTAAGAGAGGAAGTAAGTGATAGCACATACCGGATGCCCCCTAGGTAATATTCCTAACACTCCCTCAAAATTTTATATTTTTTATTTTATTGTTAGGAGAGTCAACTATGGTTAAAAACTGGCTTGGGTTTTTGCATGCTTTCCATACCAGCCATGATCCTCTGACCATAGTTTAGCACAGAAGTGCTACCACACACATACACAAACATATACTTCACATAGTTTTAGAAAACAGAAATTTTCTTGATTTCTCTTTCTTACATAATTCTGTAACAAAATTTTCTTTTCTTTCTTCTTGTTGTAGGGTTGTATTCATTTCTAGCTTCCAGAATTCTAAAAAAGACTTTAACTTGATCACACAAGTTATTAGATTTTAAGTTTGTATTTTTACAAAACACTTTAATGAAATGTAGAATGCCAAAAACCAGTTACCTTTTACTAGGCAACGGAGGTTTTTTTTTTTATGTTTTGCACTTAAGCACCCCCCCCCCAACTATCAGGAAAAATTCAAGGTGTTATTGTCATATTAAATATTACATCATATTATTAGAAATTTATATTTTATTGTTTTCTTAAGGTATTATATCATAATGTTTTGTGTTGAATTTTAATATTCCTTTAAAATATCTCAATGTATTGTTAATTACCTACGATGAGAAGAATGAATGCAAGTAGTACATTACGCATAAATTGTATATCTTCTAAGTTTTATATAAAAGATGTTCCCCATGAAATTTCACAATCTTCTATTCAAAACTTACTATGGAACCATCTTGATTGAAAATAGTGTTATAGACTTATTTTTATCTTGTAGACTTATTGGCATCAAAAGACTTTAAAAAGCATTTCATTCAATTTCAACAATTTTTGTGAAGGGACTTTAAAACAAAAAATTTCACTTTTCATTGGACATTTTGAAGAAAATTGAGGACTTTTATGATTCTAATTTATTGTTTAGTATTTTCTTATATATATTATTGTCTCATAGTTCTAAATTAGATGTTTAGTTATAAATTATATGTTTATTTATAAATTATAAGTTCCATTATAAGATAATGTAATTAAGCAGTTTCTAATTATATGAGAAAGATCATGAGTTATGATAGGGCATAGTTAAAGCCTGTTAGCTATGTCCTGGATATCTTTCCTCATACTCTAAATTTTTCTTGCTTCACTAATGTACTAATGCTTTGCTCTCCCGGCTTCTTGTTTTGAGGGGGGGGGAGAAGATGTAAAGTATAGGAAATATGATGGCTTTGCTCTACAGGAACAGGCAATGTCTAAACTTATACAATGCATAACTTGATTTTTTCTTGACTCTTTTTAAGACCCCCCCCAACTGCTTTCTTCCTTGCATCACATCACTGGTGAGATATATACTGCCAAATGTGTGTGTGTTTAGTTGTAAAGTATTTCTTTTTTGCTATGCGCCAATTTTTATTGAGTGATGAGCTAGATCGGAAGGCCATTTTTCTTTGCTTTTTGGTATCTATGTCTAATAGATGGCCCACGAAAACATATATTTATATCAATTAAATCAACAACAGAAAGTTATAACAACTTATTAAATGTATGCCAAAAATATCTTAAGATCTACATCTGGATGAAAGATACAAGTAACTTAATGCATTGAGTAGGTACTCTCGTCCCTCATGTGAGACCTTTTCGTCATGTCAGGCAAATGACCACTACACACTAACGGACAAGTTGGGATTAGCTTGTCTCATGTGCCTCCTCCATGCCTGTCCACACATAGTCGTAATTGATTCGTGGCAAAGTCGTACTGAAGTAGCTAAAGAGCCATGTTTTTCTGATCACTGTCCTAGTTAAATAACTGCTGTCCCTAATAAGCAAAATAATTAAGTCATTTTTTTTTCATCTAAAATTTTCCCTAATGAAATATAATTAAGGCTATATGTATATCATGATAAATTAATTTATAGTGTTCTTAAATATGCTGAAACAAATAGGTTCTTCTTAAATACGTTTGTTTTGATTTTTATGGTGCGGTTAAAATAATTTTTTTTCAGTATTATTAAAATTTTTTCTGTGTTCTTCAAAATAAAGAGCTTTGTTTAAAATCTGTTAAATCGTAATTTGTGTTTTAAAAATAATTATAAATGTCACATTAACATGTCACTTGAAAACTATAAACAAGTTGTATATCAACAATCTATTAAAAACAGTAAGTTTGTAATATGTTTATCCTGATGTTAATTAATTTTTTATTTTTCAGATTTTATGAATGGTTTAGAATGTATTGCTTGCCGTAAGACATTTTCTTCCCTCTTGGCTCTCTCAAAACATGTTAAATGGGGCCACAGAAATGATCACAATCCTTTGCGGTATCAGTGTGGTGTATGCTCCTACTCATCTGACAAGTCAGATCATCTCAAGCGACATTTAATGACACATACTGGTGAACGACCACATAAATGTATGTACTGTAGCAAAAGTTTTACAGATAGGTCTAACTTCAAACGTCACCTTATGACCCATACTAAAATTAAGTCATTTGTGTGTGAAATCTGTTCTTCGAGTTTTTCTTGCAAAGCCTTATTATCAGCTCACAGGTTAATTCATTTTGATATGTCTTAGGTAATTTTTATGTTGATAAATTTTGAAAATATTTCCTTTTATGCATAACAATAATTTGTGAATTCCCCATCATTAATTATTATTTCCGAAGTTCTCAAGTAGTCTTACTAAGTTAATTTTGAAGCTGGTATGCTAAACACATCATCTGTAAATGAAATTTGGAGGCGCTTAGTTTTTTTCATGAGATTTTCTGTTTCATAAACTCAAAGTATGCTTCAATTCTAGAATTAAATGTTCCCCATCTTTTTCTGCAAGTAAGCAGTATTATATGTTCATGCTGAGTTTTTTTTTTTTTTTTTCTTCTTTTTTTCAGTATTTCTACTGTATTCCTGAAGAAACTTTTTTGAATATTGGTCACTTTAACCTTGCGAATGGCTATATCTTGTATTTATTCATGATGTGTTCTTTTTATCTTACATACCTTATTTTATGAAACATTTTAGTATTTGCTTTCTGGTATATATGTGTTATCCAACCACCTTAATAGTGGTTGCTACATTTTTGCACATGCCAAATTCTTGCAACCATATGCATAACCATTCTACAGACAACCATGCTCATAACAAACCTTCAACGAAGCAATGTTGCTATTTCCTTGTGCTTTTTTTTTTTTTTTTTTTCCCTTGTATTCCAAGTTCCATTGATTTTTTTAACAAGTCATAATACTTTTTCCTTAATTTTAAAGTATGCTCTTTTGGAATTTGCCAGCAATGGAAGAATTTGCAGTAAATTTCTGTAAGAATACATAATTTTGCTGCAAAATCTGTAAAGGAAGTAGTAAGAAGATGTGTTTTACAAATAGCTGGTGATTGGAGTTTGTGTGATGTCGAATCTGTGCAGTTCTGTGATCTATTTTTAAGAAAAACACTGTGAATTTAGTGAGAAGAATAGTGAAAAAAAAAAAAAAAATTACAGAAAGATTTGGAAATGAATGTAAGTGTTTTATTTTTTAATATATCATGTAATTTTTATTTAATAATTAAAATTTGTATTTTAAATTGCTGAAATATGATTTCCTTTCATAAGTTGATGTCTGTCTACTTACAATAAATATCGATAATTTAGACATCTTTCTAAAAAATAATAATAATTAAAACCACCATCTTACACCCATTGAGTAACTTTTACCTTTTCATCGTAAAAAATCACCAAATTGTGCCAAGGTGGTTGTGTTAATACATAGGTACCCATTTTGTGTCATATATTACTGTAAGTTTTGTAATTTGTTAAATAAAATGAAATCTCAAAATATTCTACATCGTAGAGTAATAAGTAGATCCCATGAGCAGGTATATAAATATTTACTATCTGCTGAATTAAATGCTTTTCCCCATAATCCTTATTTGTAAATTATTTAGAAGGGCACTTTACCTATTGTAGAAGAAGAATAAAGAAATTGATTTTATATACTATTGCCTTTCTAATAAAATGCAAAACTAGGCTTTTTATCACATTCTAAACAAATCAGTTTTAGCATGTTGTTTATGATAGTAACTTTTAGCTGTATTTATTATGTACTTACTTAGTCTTGTAAATTCAGTTTGATTTGTGCAGTCTTTTAAATTCCGTTTGATTTGTTCCAATTTGCTTATAAATCAGCTGTGTATGACTTACATTTTTTTTTTTATTTTATAACATAGTGTTATTCGTACTGTACTTTTATACTGCATTCAAGGACATTGAGTGAAGTAAAATTCAAAATTAACATTGGTCATTCAAGTGAAGTTTGTTGAACTTCATCCAAATTTTGATGAATTTCATTCATTCTAGTAAAATTCAAATTTTTATGAAAATAAGCTATTAATTAATAAATAATAAAATTAGCTATTTAATTATATGTGTGTTTCACCGCAAAAAATAAAATATCTGTTTTTAAATATTATTTTTTGTAGTTGCACAGTGAAGCTCAGAATCATAAAGCTCAGAATTAACAATTCATTCTGCTGTCTTGCATATGCACTTTAAAATGTTTAAAATATTTAAATTTGTATTTATTACTAATCAACTTTTATTTTCTGCATCATTTATGTGTGGATTTATGTCAGGTATGTGTGTATATGATAGTGACTTAGATGGAGAAGATTCAGATAAATTCAGTGATGGCAAATGCTGTAGATGTTGATGGCATGTAAAGATACATTAATAGGCAGCTGAAGCCTTAGCCATCATACTGATTTAACATATTTCATTTCTGGGTAAAACAGTTCTTGAGAATTACATTCATACTGAGAATTACTCATGAAAATGAGCAAAATCTGCATACCCATGCTTAATCACATTTTTGTCTATTCTGTATCTTGACAAATCACTGGTAAAATAGAGAGGTGAGTGTATTAGCTGGACAGGAAGCAAGAGCAGGAAAAATGAAGGCTTGGAACTGCAGGTGTGAAAATTATGGTTCCCAGTGTTCCTACTGGATATTAATAAAAAGATTTTGACTCACAACTGAAATCTTATTCAATGGCGCATTTATGACAAGTGCATTTATCAGTACTGTTATGTAAGAATCATATTACAGTTAAAAATCGTTAATTCGGACACCCATAATCTGGAATGATCTATAATCCGGACCTCAAAGCTACAAACTTTCTGCGCATGCGTCGCGTTGACTCATGCGCATAGGCGTTTACGCGTGCGCGTAAGACCTTTACAGCTGCGAATATGCGTGTGCGTAAGCGCATAATACGTTGGCGCATGCGCGTTTAATGTATAACAAACGGTATAAGCTAAGCTAAAATTATCTAATTCAGTTAATGTTGCAGATTGCGTTGTTCCTTAATCTTCGAATTGAATCCAGCTTATTATTTTTTGCAGACTGTTAGAGCAATTTTATAAAAGTAAGCTTGAACCTTCTATTATGTCAAATAGAATTTCCAATATATATTTACTAATATGTAAAGGATCTACAAAGCGAAAGTATGTTTTGAAATCCGAAATCTGTCTATCAGTTTCATGCTGCTCTGCAGCAGGGGGGGGGAGAAACGCCGCGGCGCGCAATGAATTGGAAGTTGATCTGTCAGCACTATCCTTATCTTCAGGGCAGATGTTTTTATTTTATTTGGCTTATAATTCCTTACTAAATGTAGTATTTCATCATCGATGTACTCCATCTTTGATATGATTTAAATCAAATTCCACGTTCATTATAATTCGCTTACCGATAGTGAAGAAAGTGACACAGAAGGTTATTTGAAAACGAAAAAAATTTCGATTGACAAATTAGTTGGTATTCTTGACACAGCAATTATAGGACTTGAACAGCGGAACTTTGAACTAAAAAAGAAATTATGTCTGTTTAATAGAATTAAAGAGTAAGTATTATCACATGAAACGAAGCAACTTAAACAACTTACATTGAAAGAAATGTTTAATAAAGTAAACAAATAAATATTAAGCTTTTTCTTTTTGTAAATTTTGTTACCCTTTAGATCATAATTGTTCTTTATTTCATAAATTACGGTTTCATATTTTTAATTTTGTAATTTCGCATGCCATCTTACCAGATTTAAACTGATGATCTATAATCCGGAAAAAATCAATAATCCGAAATCGCCGAAGTCCCGACGAGTTCGGAGTAACGACTTTTGACTGTATATGGAGTAATTTAGAAATATCACAGTTTAGAGAGATTTATTATAAGCAGTTACTAATTTTAGGACAGAAGGGGGAAAACAGTGAAATTCAGATAAAGACTTAAGGGACTGTTTTGAATTAAAATTAGAATTTTCCTTTACATATTTTTAATCTTACGCATATATCTGATATAAAGTCATTCAAGTCTAGTATACATTAGTTTATGTCTGTTTCCAAAACATTTTTCAAATCTATGAAAAAGCAATAAGTTAGAACGTACAGTAAATGATACCTAGTAGTTCCAAAAGATGTTTAGAAGAATGAAGAGGAGGAAGTTTGGAAAAATAATACATGTCCATATAAAGAATTTTGCAAAAATTCAAGTGTAGTCTGCTGGAGTAATTTGGTGCACAAGGAAACAAGAAATTTTATTTGCATTTTAAAAAGAGTGAAATTTGTCTTTTGGTAATGAATATGTAGTAGTAAAGTGATAAGAAAAGTAAGTCAAACATTTATTTTGCCATTGTTAAATAAGCAACAGCATTTCTTAATTTTATGCACATACATGAAGCCTTCCCTCAGGTACTGTAGTTACTGATTAAAGTTCAAACTGTTGAACACATTCAAAAGGCTCTTCTTATATGATAATTTGTTATATTTTATAGCTTTTAAAGGTACTAAGAAAAACTAAAGGCTGAGATAGTCATTTTAATGATCAGAAGTTGACTGCTGTGGCTGTCCTTGGAACAGAGTAGTATTTACATGTGTGATTGAATGTACACTCAAGAAAAAGAGAGAGAGAGAGAGAAAAAAAAAAAAAAAAAAAACAGTTCTATATCTCTCGTTTCTACTGGGCCGATTAACGAAATTGCGTTTTTCATGTCTCGAAAACGCGACATAGGATATATATTACATTCATATATAGCACTGTTTTAATATAAGGGTTTGACACAAAATCGGACATTTTGTGAAATGACATGCCACTTTTTTTTCCAGATTTTGATTCTACGACTCATATTATGCTTAAATATAAAATTTCGTAAAATTTGGTGCGAAATTTATGGAGACCTTTTAACGGTATTTTAGCATTTATGTTGGCGCATTTTTTTTTCAGTTTGCGTCAAGAATAGTAAAAGAAAATCCATAATCTGGAAAATCCATAATCCATAATCTGGTGCATTTGGCGAACTTCTTAATTTATAGCAACCTATTTTTCTTTCCTTCTTTTTTCATTGTAAACGAACGGGGGAAAAAATCATCGTTTATTATTTCAAATAATTTTAATAAAGTGCGTAAACGACATTTGGCGTTATTATGGCTTATAACAAATATTCTAAATTTCAAAGTGTGCCAATATGTAAATTCATGTATATCCTAGGAAATTGTGAATAAAAAACTCTTAATTTTTTGCAGGTATGCTTAGAATTACATTTACTTTAAGATGATGGTAAAACTTTGATAGGTTAAAATTCAAAATTTTTTTTTCGAAAAATTTACAAAAATTATTTTTAATTAAATCATAAAAAATGGGTGAATTTTATTTGGAATGAAACTAAATTTCGAATTCTAGAAGAAGGAATCAAGCAAGTTTAATAAAAAAAAAAGAGAGAGACATTAGGAAATATATTTCAATTAACATTGAAAAGCTAAAATTTTGAGAGCTAATTTTTTAAAACCTACTTGTGCGATTTTTACAAAACTTGGGAGTGTTGCATAATTTGAATCGGAAAATCGAAATATGGGAAAAATATTGGTGTATTCTTTCAGAAAAAGACCTTTTTTGTCAAAATACTATATTAGAACAATGCTATATATAAATCTAATGCATATCCTAAGCCGCGCTTTTGAGACATGAAAAACGCAAGTTGAATTTCGTCAATCGGCCCAGTAAAACGGGACATATAGAACTGTCTCCCACAGTGTACTCCTAGTTTTCATTAAAATGCTTTGTTATATGTTGCAACTTCAATATATAAGAAGAATTTTAATAATAAATAAATGCATTTTATAACTTTTTTTAAAAATTTTTACAGATATATTTATTCTTATGTTCTGAATGTGTAAAAGACTCATTTATTTAAGTGTTGCATTTGTACATATTTTAATGCAGTAATATAATTTTCAACTTAAGAATTCTTTTATTGCTTTATACTCTTGTTTCTTGGCATTTTTTAATTTGTTACATTAAAAATGAGAATCATAATAATTTTTTGTTGAATAATGATTATCTTATGAAATAGTAAGGTGTATAATAATATATATAAAAAATGTTGAAACTTCAGTGTGTTCTAATATGTACCGAGAGCAGTTTTATATTGCCAAAGTAGATAATAAATTAAAAATTATTAACTACAGTGAGTTTTTATTTCTAACCATTCCTTTATTAGTATTCCATTATGTTAACACACTTTTTAATAATATTAAATATTGTATGCTCTTTGTTCACACTCAATTATCTTAATTTTTTGCAACATTAATATATATTACAATACATATTTTTAATTTCTGTGTTTAGTTTATCATGATAGATACATTTATTATGTATTAATAGTGTGCTGTAACATGTATTTAATTTCTTTAATTCAATCAGATACTATCTGCATCATATTAAAATATAATTGTCTGGTGTATTTTTCAGTTTGTTTTAAGAACAAGTATAATATCAATTGCAAAGTTTAAAAAAACACAGCTCTGCATCAAGAATATAGCATTAAAATAAATTACTCTACAAATAAATTAATTTTGTTTTTATTCATTTTTGGAAAGGGGGGAAGGGGGAAAAAAAAAAAACACTGAAAATGTCGTACTGCCAATAATGTGGAAAAGTGCCAGTCCTATTCAATCAGTGGCTTAGCTAGAAATTTTACGGCCTTAGGCAGAATTAAAATAAGTATATATATATATATATATATACAGTCAAAAGTCGTTAATTCGGACACCCATAATCCGGAATGATCTATAATCCGGACCTCAAAGCTAAAATCTTTCTGCGCATGCGCCGCATTGACGCATGAGCATAGGCGTTTTACTCGTGCGCCCAAGACATTTACGACTGCGCATATGCGTCTGCGCAAATGCAGAATACGTTTTCGCGTGTGCGTTTAACGTTTTATAACAGACGCTAAATTATAAAATTTATAAGCTAAAATTATCTAATTATCTATTTCAGTTAATGTTGATGATTGCGTTGTTCCTTAATCTTCGAATTGGATCCGGCTTATTATTTTTTGCAGACTGTAAGAGCAATTTTCTAAAGTAAGCTTGAACTTTCGATTATGTCAAATAGAATTTCCGTTGCTGGAGCTCCCAAAGGATCTAGAAAACGAAAGTATGTTTCGATGTCCATCAAACCAAAAAAACGAATTGCTACAAAAAATGGATAAAGGCATATTCTTTGTTTATCTAACCGTTCCGAAATCTGTTTATCAATTTCACGCTGCTCTGCGCGGGGGGGGGACGTCGCGGCGCGCAATGAACTGGAAGTTGATTGTCAACACTATCGTTATCTTCAGGGCAGATGTTTTTTTTATTTATCGGCTTATAATTCCTTACTAAATGTAGTATTTAATTTCGATGTACTCCGTCTTTGATATGATTTAAATCAAAATTCCTCGTCATTATAAATATCACGAATACAAATCAAATAGTTTTCTGGTTGCAATTTTCTAATTTCGGCTATGCGTAAGGTATGCTTTACGCATCCGCGCGTTAAAAGAAATGTTTAATAAAGTAAACAAATAAATATTAGGCTTCTTTTTTGGTAAATTTTGATACCCTTTAGATCATAATTGCTCATTATTTTATAAATTACGATTTCATATTTTTAATTTTATAATTTCTGCATGCCATCTTACCAGATTTAAACTGATGATCTATAATCCGGAAAAACCGATAATCCGGAATCGCCCGACGAGTCCGGATTAAAGACTTTTGACTGTATATAGTGATTGAGTTTTATTTAATGTTTTTAAGTAATTCAAGACTATTTTAATAAGCAAAATTCATTAACTACAAAACCACACAGAAACTGTCTTAATAAACATAGCTAACTAAAAAGAAGAAAAAATGCTGATCAAGTTACATTTGCAATAATAACTGGCTTTTTCTAAGGAAAATGTTCCCAAACAATAAATAAAATTTATTAAATTAATAAAACTTACAGTGAGCAAATTTCATTCAATCACCACTAGTAATTTTCAGCATCACTTTTCTTATTAAATTTTATCGGATCTGAATTGTCTTAATCTACTGTAGATACTAGGATTTTTTATGAAGATTCAACTTTTATCAGTATTTAATTTTGTTTTACATCCATTTATAGTACAGTAGTGTATTTATCCCCCAGTAGTATTTACACCAATTATTAATTTTATTTTCATTTTGTTCAAAGTTCATCAAAGTACTTTGATAAATAAAAGCTTTTCTCCATTACTTAAGATTTTCTTAGTATAAAAGTGTAAGAAAATTAAAGAATGAAATTAACTGAAGAACACAAAATTTGGAATATCTAATTAAATTTTAGTACATTTTTCATCAGAGTCATATTTTAAATAACCAAAATCATATATAAGCAGCTTTCTGTCTAGCAGAAATATGTACACAGAGCCGTAGCTAGGGCTTCCAGCGCCTGAGTACAATTGAAAATTTCGTGCCTCCCTCCTATTTGCCAAGAATGGAAAACATTTCATTCTAAAATATCTTAATATTAGTTTGGCGCCCCCTGGATGCTGCACCCAAGGACAGATGTTCCCCTTTGCTCCCCCTTAGCGACACTCCTGTATGTGCATTAAATTAACACTAATCAGTGGTTCTGAATATTTACATAAAATACTGGTAAAAAGAAATAGATTCTTTAAATGATTAAAAACTACATTAAAAATAAGAAGTGCCATGTATCACAGTAACTGCATTCACATGCAACTGTTTCATTAACTGCCTGCAAATATATCTAGAATTCTGGATTTTTTACTTTCTCAACTCTGAAATTTCCAGATTTGAGAAACTGTATGTACACATAATCTTTGTTATGTGCAGTAATCCAAATAATATGTATCATGTCATGGCATGGTCACAATCATCACAGAGAGTAATCTTGAGTATTAATTTCTGGGATTATATTTTATTGGTGTAGAAGTTGCAAAAGTTATTAGGAATTCTAGAAAGATTATTATTATTATTGTGCTTTAAAAAGGAGCCTAAATCTATTTCAAAAGAGGAGTGAATAGGATGTGTTGATTATATGAATAAAAAATCTTCATCTAAAGAACTCTGTCTTCATTGAATTTAATCTCTCGAATCCTGTTATATGATGTGGAAAACTGCATTCATTGATTTGATGAAATTAGCAGATAGTTTACCAAATATAATTCAGAGGATGGAAATGCTTTTGTTAGGCCAAAACGTCAGAAACTGTCAAATACTTTCCTTATACAAAAGCAAACAAACAAAGAAAGCTGATATTGTAAACTTTTGGGCTAAAATTTTCAGGCTAAAAAAAGATGGAAAACAACAATATCTACTATCAACAAAACTAGTTACATTTTTTTAAATTTACTTCCATAGACCTAATTTTGAGAGTGCATTTACTTGTGCGAGTCATATTATGGTAAAATGTAGAACATCTTTAAAAATTGACAGCTTAGATGCTGTGAAATCTTTAGTCTCATTAGACAAAAAATACATCCAAATTTTATTGGATCAGAAAATCCCTCTTAAGGACCTTGTAGGTAGGGATTTTAGGAATAACTTATTGATTAGCTAGACAGCTTACCAAAATTGTTCTCTTTCTACTAGCAGTTCATCTCCTGATCCTTTTTATATACATACACAGTTTTAATCTACATCTCCTGATCCTTTTTATATACATACACAGTTTTAATCTAACACATGAAGCATTATCAGTCAAAAGTCATTTTCTGTGTCAAAATGGTTTGCTGATTGCAGTCAATTTTCAGTTGTTTGTAAAGAAAAAGGGAAATGCCTTAATTCCTGGAATTTAATCCTCCTCTCCCACCTTAAAAAAGAGCAAGCTAAATGTAGTGAATATTTTTTTAAATGTTAAGAAACTGAAATAGATAATTTTGCAAAACGGTGTAGAGAAACATAAATTAACACTTAATAAATTAAAAAAGGCTATACATTTTGCCTCAGTGATGACATTGTTTGAAAATTCGTGTGCATTCATGTGTATTGTAATAATATTCTAAAGTATTTGGAATTATGTCAGATTTTTACTCCAGGGTAGTTTTCAGGGCTTTTGAAATGGAATTGCTATCACTTCTGGATATGTGAATGGAGAATAGGATAACACAGTTAAAAATTATGAGCCAAACTCAAATGACAGCGAGGAGTAAAATCATAGATCTATTTACTTGTTTGTGGCAAATATCAACTTCACTGCAAGATCTATTAGCAATTTTTGACAATTAAAAAGACAATATTCTTTTTTTAAACATCTTTAGGAAAAATTTTCTGTATCCTAACATGAACTTGTTTTACTTGAAATAATATAAATAGCTCATCTTTCATCCTTCCCAAGGTTTTATATGAACTAAATAATTAAAGTAATTAGTAAATTTGTTAATTTTGATTCTGTAATGTAAACTCATAAATGAAGTCTAGTGCAAAAAGTATTTTTGTATGTATTTGATTCTAAACTCAGATAAAAGTATTTTGCATTTTTAATAGCTGTACTTTTAGATAAGATATAAATTTAAATAATCTGTATTCTATTCAGATTTTTCAAGTGTTAACATAAAATTTTTTTAAAGTTTTCCATTTGGTATGGGAATATTTAGATGATTTATGATTATATTCTTTCTTGAAACTTGATTTATGATGTGATAAGAGGATTTATCTAATTTCTTATAAAATGGTTTAATCTTTTCTGTTAGCTTTAATGAAGAAACTGCTCTTAGGTTTATCATATACTAGTCAATTAATGTGTTACAACTTTAGGATATTCTTCTTCGAAGAATGGGACAAATTAGTACATTTTTTAGGTCTTTTGTCTAATTATTTTTGTCATTAACTAATATAGAAAAATTTGTGTTTTTAAACCCCAAAATTGTGCTAGAGAATATTTATGGAAGAACTATTTATTGAGAAAAAAGATTTCTTTAAAATAATTTGCTTCAAAAGGCTGTATTAAATAATATTTCATTAAATTTTTATGTAAATCGCGTACATTTTTCATTCATTAAAGATTTTAAATTGTGCTTTTTTGCATAGAAATTATGTTGCTAGCCATATTTTGGATTTTCAATGTGGTTTGTTGTACAATTATAAGTTCTTGTCTCTTTTATCATATAAAAAGTAAATTAAAAACAATTATTAAAATAGTGTTTATGTTAAAAAAAAGTGATTTTATTTCTTAATTTCGTCAGAAGTCTAAATAAACCTTTTGTGTAATTAAGTATCACTATACCATTACAGTTAAAATAATCATTGTATTTTTATGTTAATTTATATTTCCTAACTTTAAATAGTTGACAGTTTTTAAGTAAGGGAAGAATTATTATGTTGAGAATATCAATCACTCAAAGGTAAAATGATAGCCTATTATAGATTTTTGCAAAAGTTCAAGCATTGCAGTATTTTATTAAGTATGTGTAAGCAGATTTATATATGTTTTGTGTATATCTAAATTAAAAAAGGGGCTTGATTGTCTAAAAGAAGTAAACAAGTTTATCATGTTTAGAGTATTTATAAATTTTTAAAGAAAATGAAAAATCAAAATGTTATGTTTAGTAGAGTAATAAGTAGAGGTAGAACCGATGAGCACATCTTATAAAAGTTTTTTTTTTTTTTTTTTTAATTGGCCTTTCAGTTCTGATAGAAGAATAGTTAAGAAAAATGATCTTGTATAGTCTAACATTTCTGATCAAATGCAAAATCCAGGTTGTTTATCATGCTCTAAACAAACCAATTTAACATGTTGTATGTGATAGTAACTTCTAACTGTATTTATTTTTAAAGTGTTAGGTTGGAGTTTTATAAAATACTATTCGATTTTTGCCAATTTGCTTATGAATCAACTGTATGACTTATAGTTCATTTTTATTGTTATTCTTGTTTTTCTTTGTACTGCATTCAAAGGCGTTAAGATGTTCAGTCAAGTGAAATTTATATTTAACATTGGTCATTTAAGTGAAATTTGATGAGTCATTCAAAATTCTTTGGAAAAGCAGTTTTTCTTTTAAATATGTTTGTGTATATGAAGAAAAGTAAATTATCTGCTTCTATTTATAAGATTTTATAATTGCACGGTAAAGTTAGTGATGTATGTGGAACTCCAAACTGAATCTGATATCCGGCAAGTTCCTAGATGGGTGCAAAAATCTAGTTTGTTTATTCTAGAATTCTTAATTATGATGTCAGATTTCATGTTCAGTCATATTTTTGTAGATTACAGGTAATAATAGTTTTTGTTTTTTTATATGTGAAACAATATGTTTAGTTTTATAATTTTATACAATGTCTCTTGATCTGTAAGGATACGTAAGGACAATAATGTTGAAACAGCGGTCCTAATTATCTGATTTTTAGTTTTTAAGTTTAGGGAAATATAAAATCTGTTATGTGAAAGCAAGTGTTTATTCTAATAAATTATGTACAATTCTTAATTGCATAGTTTTGAATAATAAAAGTTTTCATTTCAGTTTTAGGCCACCGCTTTTAATTGTCAAATATATGTACTTTTTTGGGGGGATAAATTATTTTTTTTCCCATGTGACTGGCCTGTGAAAGCACTAGTGGTATAATTATAAATATTATGATAGAATTTAATTTTTGATTTTTTTTCCTAAATGTCTAAGAACAATTTATCTCTTGAAACTAACGTAACAGCTTCTAAATCCTTATGATATAATTTTAAAAAAATTAGAAATGAAGCTTGAAAAATAGTTTTTAATCTGTGCTGTTAATGTTAGTTATTTAACTTTATATGTACACTGCAAACATCTGATAACCTGGGAGACATTTTCACAGTACAGTAAGTATCTTAGTTAAATAATTGCTGTCCAAATAAGCAAAAAAATTTAGTCATTTTTTTAATTTAAAATTGTTTTAAGATTTATCTCATGTATGAATATAACCTTAATGAAATATAACTGATGATATTTAATTATAAATTGATTTATAATATGCATAAATCTGTAGGTTACTCTTAAATTGGCTTTGTTTTATATTTATTTATTTATTGTGGATAAAAATAGGTTACATTTTTTCCTATGTTTCTTATTACTGTTTCTTTGTTCTTCAAAATAATAATCTTTTTAAAACTGTTAAATCATAATTTGTGTTGAGAAGTAATTTGATTTTTTACATTGACATGTCACGTGAGATATTATTATCAAACTGTATTTTAATAAAGAAACTATTTATTTAAAACAATTAGTTTATTAAATGCTTTATCTTATGTTAATGTAATTTCTTTTTTAGATTTAATGAATAATTTAGAATGTATCGCTTGCCGTAAGACATTTTCCTCTCTCTTGGCTCTCTCAAAACACATTAAATGGGGTCACAGAAATGATCACAACCCTTTGCGGCATCAATGTAGTGAATGCTCCTATTCATCTGCCAAGTTGGGTCATCTCAAGAGACATGTAATGACACATACTGGTGAACGACCTCACAAATGTACATACTGTAACAAAAGTTTCTCTGATATGGCTAACCTCAAACGACATGTTCTGACTCATACTAAAATAAAGTCGTTTGTATGCGAAATATGTTCTGCAAGTTTCGCTCGCAAATCCACATTATCTAGACACAAGTTTATTCATTTTGATACTATATCTTAAATAGTTTTTTGCTTTGATAAATTTTGAAACGACTCTTGAATATGTAATATTAATTTGTAACTGACCATCTTTAATTAATATTCTCAAAGTTGTTATACATATCTGTATCAAGTGGACTTGCTGAGTTAAGGTATGGAATCTTGTCATCTGTAAATGGAATTCAGCAGTAGTGAGTTTTCATTATCTGCTGTTGAACTTCATATGTTCTATTGTATAGGAATATACAGCAACTGAACCAAAATCAGGCTTTGAGTGTAGGTGCTAAATGCTTTTTTTTTGGGGGGGGCAGCAAGCAATGTCCTTGAATTATAATGTTGATGCTGATTTTTTTTTTTTTTTTTTCCAGTATTTCAGAATTGTTTTTATTTGCATGAAAAACTTTTTGAATATTGGTCAGTTTATCCTTGCAAATGGCTGTATCTAATATTCATTCATAGTGTGTGTGTCACCTTACATATCTTGTTTAGTGTGATACTTTGTTTTAGCATTTATTTTCAGCACTTGCTGGTTACAGTTAGTTTCTGATTTGTTCAAGAAAATGAAACTATCAAAAAGCTTTGCTCGGTAGGATAATAAGTAGATGTTGAACTCACGAGTACATATTTAAATGTTCACTACTTGCAGCATTAAATGCTTTTGCTGGAAATCTTTATTTCTAAATTACTTAGAAATAGACATTTCAATTCTTGTAGAAGAATAATTAAGAAAAATGATCTCAAGTAATCTTATATTTCTGATGAAATTCAAAATCCAGAATGCTTGTCACATTTATAAATAAATCAATATAACATGCTGTATATGACAACTCTTATTGATTTTTAAGATACTTAGTTAAGAGTCTTGTAAAATTCAAATCAGTATGTGCCAGTTTGCTTATAAACCAGTTATGCGACATATATATGTATTTAATAGGTGATCGTATTATTTTTGTGTTTATTTTATGCTGCATTCGAAAACATTCAGTCAAATGAAATTCATGTTTATCATTGGTTATTTTAGTGAAGTTTGATGAGTCATCCAAATTTTTATGAACTTCACCCATTCATGTAAAATTTAAAAATTCTCCGAAAAAATGTTAAATCTGAAAAAGCAAGGTTTTCTTTTTTTATATGTATGAGTGAAAAGTTAAAAATTATCCACTTTTAAATCTATTTTATAGTTACACAGTAACACTAATCATATGCATGGTATTCCAAATTGATTCTGATGTTCTGCAAGCTCCTAGATGTGTACATTTTACTGTGAGGTGTTTTATATAGTTTTAAAATTTATATATGTTGTGTAACATTTTATCATTTGCAAACAGATTTATGTCATAATTTATGTATGGTTTAATAGACTCATACAACATGGAAAAAATGTATTTAACATAAGACATATGGCAAAACACTTCTTTGTATAATGAATGTGTAAAAAAGGAAACATGTTTGAAATTAAAAAATGGTACTTAATTTTCTTTAAAAGGAACATTTGCATGGGCAGTTATTATTAAGAAATTTTAGATACATCTTAAAATATTTTCATCCTTCTTGTTAATTCTTTTTCCCCATCAAAGTGTCACATGAGGATCATTTAGGAAGATAACAATTATTTGCTTATATAAAACTAATAAAATCAAAATTGCCATTAATATTAAATTACTCAATTTATTTTTTAATATCAAAAATCAGCATCAAGTTGATTTTTAGCATCCCCCTTAGCATCTTCAAGCTGTTTGTATTAATTGTAAATAGTAGTGAAATTTTTTAAGTTCCTTAGTCATCAAAATCCTTTCTCTGTACATTTAGCCATCCAGGAAATATAAAATTCAAAACTTCACTGCCAACTTATATAATTTGGGATCTATCGGTTGCTAGCATCAGTTTTTGTGTATATTTTCAGATCAGTGAAAGGAAAATGAGTTATGGATTAATTGGTAGACCTAAAAGATGTCCAGAATGATAATGATAATTGAGATTCAATGAATCTCACGTATATAATTGAGATTCAATGAATCTCACATATAGTACAAAACAGTCAGCTTGAATTTTCTGTTTAAATGCTGATTCACTATTGCATTAAAATTATAAATTTATTTTAATGTAGGTCTTGGTTAAATTAATGGATAAAAGAATTTTAATGGCTCAACAATTCAAAGCAAACTTCTAATTTCATTCCTGTAAAAGTTTTTCTGGAGATATTAGTATTTAAAATACAATTGCATTTTTTATCCTGAGATATTTTTGGTTTTATTTAAATATTGAATTCTTTTACTGTATTGCTTTACATATATTGGTTCTGTTTATAAATTTTATCTGTTTTATTCAGTGTATTTCATGAGCTGTTTAAATATAATGGTACTTATTCATTTTAAACAATTATTTATAAATCTAATGTTATTTCAAAAGCTAGATAATATTATTTTTTCCTGTTGTGAGAAAATGTGAAATAAATTTCACATAAAATATTGTAATATTAAAAGCAAATCAATCCAGAAAACTAATAACCCCAAAATATTAAAAATAGGTTATAAAATTCTTGACAAGGCCTGATAATGTGTAGGCTAAGAACCCCATGTATTTCAAAGCCAACCACAGCATTGTATGTTTTCCAATACTCTTTTTCCCTGATAAAGGGAAAATCATTTGGCATTGATGATTCTTGAAAAATTAATATGGCTAGAGTCTCAAACTGACTTAAATGGCTCTAGCCTGAGATATCTCTCTTGAATATTTGTGTTTTATTTATTTTGCAAAGCTGTATCTATTTCTGTTTAGCTGTATAATGTAAATTGTATAATGTGTAGTTTTATGAGCTAAAATTAAAAAATTATATTCAGCTATAGATTAGCACTAATTTTAAGGAAAAGGAGTATGAGCATTTGAGATAATCTGATCTTCTTTTCTTCTCATGTATCCAGAGGCGTAGCTAAGGTTTTTCAGTGCCCGGGGACAACTAAAAATTTTGCGCCCCTTTCTGTGTTCCAAAAATAGAAAACATTTCATTCTGAAATGTATATCATCAATTTGCCGCCCCCTGGATGCTGTGCCCGAGGATGGATGTCCCCCCCTCGCCCCAACCTAGCTACACCACTGCATGTATCTTAACTTTTTCAAGTGACCACTGAGATTCTTAACTATGAATGGGACACTTGTATGTTGTTTCAAGGTCAAAATCTTATAAATTAAATTGTTTGAATTTGTTATTTGTCTCTTCAGAGATTCTCATTAAATGAAATTTGACTAATGTTTTGAAAGTATGTATGTACTTCAAATTATAAATTAATGTTTATGTACTTTATATCTTAAAATTAGAATTTAAAATCTCATATTTTTAATTAATTATTCGGAATTTTTGGAAAAATTAAAAACACTGTGCTTATATAGATATTATAACTTTTTCTATTAATTTTTTGCATGCTTTATGTAAAGAGAATTATTCAATTTTTTTAAGCACTTGATTTTATATTTTGCTTTTGTTGTTGTCAGATGATTTTCAGTCTCTTTGGAGAAGAAAATTTAAAAGAATCTGTCCAATGATAACTGAGCAGTTGTATTAAATTGAGTATATTTAATATCCATGCATCATGTTTTATGTAATAAATTATTCCATTTTCATAACACTGCTTTTTATATTATTTTGTTTCTCTTTTTTAAAGCATCTTTTTTTCTTATAAAAAAAGGAGTAAGTTTTCATTCTCACTCCTGTGTATTTAATATATATATATATAAGGTAAGAAAGAAATGAAAGACGATAAGAAAAGAATGAAAATATATTAATTTTAAACCTAAATCATTAATTTTGATGATGTGTGTCTTGCAAAGTTTGTTTCATTTGAAACATTGTTATAAATATATAATTTAATGCTTTTAAATAATTTTTAATGTGCATTAAATTCATTATGTCTGAACCAACCATATACAGTCTTAGAAAGAAAAAAAATATCTTTTATTATTCTAGAATTATTATTATTATTATTTTCCCCATTACTGGAGGCGATTTAAAACTTTTTTCGATTAAACAAGGTGAGGAAGTTAAAAGTAGCAATAATTTTCTGTTTTTTGTATGCAGAATAAATTGCATATATTTGGTTTTCTGATTTTAATGTGGCCTGTTGTGATTAGTGAAGATATGTTAGGACTATAATGTTTTGACTGGTTCAGGCAGCAATCCTAATTATTTGGAGTCTATTTTTAAAATTTAGGGAAATATTAAATCTATTTTGCGAAAAAAAATTATGCTGATGAATTATAAAACAATTTTTAATTACATAATTTTCAAAATTAAAAAGAGGTTGGTTTTAGACTCTGCCCCCCCTTTTTTTTTTCCATTACAAATAAACTTTTTAAAGTATTTTTTGTAAAATGTGTAATGTAAATTTTTATTTATGAAGTCCTTTTCTATGTGAGTGTGGTCTGTGAAAGCAGACGTGCTGTTATAAAATTATTGTAGCTGAATACACTTTATAAGAATTCTTTCATGTATATGCAATAACAATTAGATAGCATCTGTGTTGGAATTGACATAAAAAATTCTTAATTCTCATGAGATAATTGAAAAAAAATTTCAGAAATGAAGCTCAAAAAATATTTTTTCAAATTAGTATCATTAGTATTAATGATTTAACTTAATATGTGCACTGTAAATGTCCAGTAACCAAGGGAGACAGTTTCTGACTGTAGAAGGTATCCTATTAAATAACTGCTGTTCCAGACAAGCAAAAAAAGAAAAATGTAGTGTATCTAAAGTTTGTGCTCTAAGATTTGTTCCATGTTACTAGCTACACTGATGGAATATAATTGATGATATCTGATAATAAATTAAGCTATAGTGCACTTAAATGTGTGAAATAAGTTATTCTTAAATAAGCTTTATTTTGGTGGAATTAGAGACATGCTGTCATTTTTTCAATGCCCCCCCCAAAGTGTTTTAAATATATTTGTTTTCCAAAGTAAAGATCTTTATTTAAAGCTTGTTAAATCATAATTCATGTTAAATAATTTTAATGTTTGCACTGATATCTCACTTCAGACATTTTTATTGAGCTGTATATATTTTCATATTTATTTCTGTTTTTAATGAATGATTTAGAATATGTTGAGTGTGTTGTATATTGCCAAACATTTTCTTCCCTCTTGGCTCTCTGTGAGCATGTTAAATGCAAACAATGTTAAATACAAAATTTATCAAGGCCCTGGCAGTATCAGCATACAATGCATTGGCTCTCTGTGAGCATGTTAAATGCAAATAATGTTAAATACAAAATTTATCAAGGCCCTGGCAGTATCAGTGTGGTGAATGTTCTTACTCATCAAATCTGATCGTTTCAGGAGGGGAAAGACCTTATAAATGTATGTACTGTAACAAAAGTTTTGCAAATAAGGCTAATTTTAAATGGCATATTCATACTGAAATATCAATGAAAAATGCAAAATTGGTTCTGCATGCAAATTCTTGATTCTTAAATAAATTTTGCTTTTGTAAATTTTGAAAATATTTTCTTTTATGCAGAGTAATTTGTCAAATGCCCATCATTATTTATTATTCTCAGAGTTATCAATATTTGTATTAAGATGGATTTGCTAAGTTAATTTTGACTTTGGTGTTGTCATGGCATCACTCATTGGTGAAATTTGGAGGTGCTGAATTTTCATCATCTGTTGTATATTTATGTTTCATAGGAGGGTATCCACCAAAAGCATGCTTCGAATGTAGGTGCTAAATGTTCCACGTCTTTCTTTCTTTCTTTCTTTTTCCAAGTATGATCATTGCAATTTTTAGTTAATGCTGAATTTCTTCCAGTAATAATATTATAATTGTATGGAAAAGTTTTTGATAAATGGTCAGTTTAACCCTGGAAATGGCTATGCCCTGTATTGATTAATGAGGTATTCTGTGTACCGTACATACCTTGTTTTATGTGGTATATTGTTTTATCTTTTATTTTCAGAAATTGCATATTACAGTAGGTTTCTGATTTGTTAGGGAAAATAAAATATTAAAATTCTAGTAATGACATAGTATGTGATCAGCTTTTAGGTGTTTATTTATTTTTAGATGTATAGCACTGTAGTATGCATTAGTTAATGTGATCATCTTTGCCCACATCTATTTTGATAATATTAAATAGTGAAATAAAATGTTCTACAGAATAGAACTAATTTAATGTATTAATATAACTAATGTAATATCATTTAACCAGAAGCATTTAAATGGGTACTTTCACAGCATTTTAATCCGGAAAAAGCAAAAATTTGTGTATGAAACTTTCGTAAGTTTCTCGAAATTAATTGATCAAAGCTAAATACGTAATCCTAAAATTTGGAGGTATATTTCTTTGAAAGAGACAGTGTAAAGTTAAAAATTAGGCAAAAAAGTAACCTGTTTTGATTTTTTTTTTAACTAGGAAAGAAAAGGGGGACCTGAAGAATTCCCCCCACTCAAGAAGAGGAACCTATGTCTGACTGCTTCAAAATTGATAAACCTATTCAAAATCTCTGTCAGACTAAGTTTTTTTTTTTTTTAATAATTTTAAAAGATCATTTGAAATTGAATATAAGCTGTTTGGTAATTCAATCCCTTACTTGGACATTTCTGTACCACTTAACAATTTATGATATTTTTATTACATTAACTGAATTGTTTATTACTATAAGCAAAGTATTTTCGTATACAGACGGGCAAGATTTCGGCAATTCAGTAACTATATTGGAATGATAACATTAACTGCAGTCACATTAAGTAGCATCTACCTTTAAATATAAATCTGTACCTTTAAATATGGAAATGAATCCAAATAATTAGAAACATAAATTTAAGTTATTCCATTAATTAATTCAGTAAGCCATTAAATTTTTAATTCCTCTAAATTTAAATTCCTTTCTATTTTACAAAAACAAAAGGAAGAGTGACCGCTTAAAAGGGCCTTTTTTATGAATCGTTTAGCAACGTACATTATGAATGCCCAGCAGCACGGCTCAAAAGCAGTCATCAGTTTTATTATTTTAATGACTAATAAAACTGACGGTTTCAATTTTGCTTCCGCAAATTTAATGTGAAAACATTTGTGGTGGTGTGCACCACATATTGCGTAGAATCTTTAGTTTCAAAATCCCCCTACATGTTTCACTTGTTTGAGTTCTAGTACCATTTGCAGAATTGATGGAAACTTTGTTTTTCCTGCTGATTATACTAACTGCACTGTGGCACAGTGCTAAAAAAAAGTGATTAATGCAGTGACCAATTTTAGTGGTGCCATCTGAAAATTAAATAAATAACTGAAAGCAATGCATTGTATGCTACACTATTTACCGAAATGTTTTATATAATAAAAAATAGTGTAGTACTAAGTAGATCCCATGGGCAGATCTGTAAATGTTTATGTTCGTATTTCTGAATTGCTTAGAAATGGGGACTTCAGTTCTTGTAGAAGAATAATTAAGAAAAATTATCTCATATAATGTTACATTTCTAATGAAATGCAAAATCCATGCTGTTTATCATATTCTAAACAAATCATTTTAACATGTTATGTATGATAGTATATTTCAACTGTGTTTGTTTTTAAACATCTTCTAAAGTCTTGTAAAATTCAGTTTGTGCTAGTTTGCATATGAATCTATCAATGTCAGGAAAGTGAAGAAATTTGCAATTGCTCTCCATGGAATTTGAACTCCCGACCTCCCGAATGCGCAACCAGGATGCTTCCAGTTACACCATGAATGCATCTGTAAAGGAGGGAGAAAATACTTTATATATTCCCCATTTAAAGGACGACAGGGAATTAAGGGACCCAGTCACCAAATCCTGGTGGTGACGATTTTTTGGCCACAATCTTTTAGTTCAGGCGCCACTTGAAGAATCTTTTAGAATTTTTCAGTGTCAGGAACCGACAAAATCCGCATGTGGCTTCGCTGGGGTTCAAACAGTGGACCTCCCGAATATGCAACCAGGTTACACCACGAAGGTATGTGGAAAGGATGGAGAAAATACCGTATGAAATGAAATTTAAATTTAACACTGGTCATCCAAATTTTGATTAGCTTCACTCATTCAAGTAAAATTCAAAATTCTCTGAGAAATGTTAAATCCAAAAAAGCGAAGTTTTCCCCCTCTTTAAATATGAATGTGTGTGTGTGTGCATAAAGTTTTTGGAGTTCCTGATCATCAGAAATCTCTGCTGTTCAGGAAATATGCAAATCCAAAACATCATCGTCAGCTTATCAGCTGGTGTCTGTTGCCAGCATCAGTTTGCATATACATCTGCTGTCAGAATGTTTTTAGATCTATGAAAGAGTGATAATTCTGAAAGATGGATTCGGTATTAATTGGTAGTTGGTAGTTCTAAAACATGTTCAGAAAGATAATATATGCATATGGTAAGAATTCTATAAAAATATAAGTTTAGCCAATATGTGGTCAAAATGTTCTGGAATAATTTGGGGCATAAAGAAACAAGAAATTTCATTTGCATTTTGAAAAGAATGTAATCTTGTTTTCTTGTAATTACTGTGTTACTTTTGTCTTTAAAATAAGCAGCAATACATATGAAATCAGTATACAGTCAAAAGTCTTTCATCCGGACGTCCATAATCCG